TTGGGATGTTATTTTATTTTGCCTATTTTTTTTAGGATACCCATCTCTAATTACTGTTGTTCTCTTGATTTGCTTTTAGATCACCTAACATATAACCTAACCAAATTGGTTTTTTTTTTTGTTGGGTTTTTTTGTTTTTGCTTGATTTATGTTAGATGTGAACCAAAGCATCTTTTAAGTTTCTCTCTTTTGTTCTTTGGGTAAAGTTCAAATAAATTATCTTTAAATTCTTGAGTTATATCCAAACTTTCTTTTAGGTTTTGGGAACTGAGTGTTCTTTTTAATTCATTGACTTTTCATAATAATTGTCCCAAGTTTTTAAACAATATAAACATAATTAATCTATTTTAACTAACTAACTTACCAAATTATGTGTTGGTAAAATTTAGACTGTCAATTTCGGTAATGTTATAATGATCAGAAGGTTAATAAATGATTGTCTTGTGTACTTTCGATAATCCAACTTCTAAATCTGCTAGTGTAGAATGACTCTTAATATATAAACGCACCGAACGCACCTGCAATAGTAATAACTTGGGTATAATTCTCTATATATAATAGCAAAATTGAATTAATTTATGAATTAATTAGCTTGACCTACAATGGATAGTTTATGAAAAAGTTTCTTGTGCTTTTGGAAGAAAGTATTTAATTCCAGTACCACTTGTGCAATAAATAGCAAAATCTTAGTTTTACTTGGAGTTCAACTCTCTTGGATGACATACATGTATAAAATTCATTGAATTATTATATAATTCTACTGGTATTTATCCAGTGAATAATAATAATAATAGTAATAATTATAATAATATATATTTAGTGTTTGACGGCTGATATGATATATAGTGATTTTTTTAGCATCTGCCCTAGATTTGCTCTACCTTCAGTTCTTGACACGCAATAATTTTCTGGATTTCGTGTGTTTTAACGTTGGTTGGACTGAAATTGAAAAAGTTGTGTCCTTTATTGACCAATCTAGAATAGGGGTTCATTTTCAATTTTACTGTTCTGTACTTTTAGATGGTAATATTATTTTTATGGAGGTTTTCATGTGAGAACTAATTAACATATATAATTACATCTAAATTATTTTTAGGGCTTCTTTTTTTTTTCTTTAATTTTTACAAGAAAGACTTATTAGCTAGGTGTTTCATTGGATTTCAAGGCCTAAATATTAATAGCAAATTAGTATATTATTAGTGTCTCCCTAAAATTTAATTCAATAGTGGAGTCTTTGAAGGGTTGGTTTTTATTTTGCTTATAACCATCTAATTTCTAATCTACATTTTAAGTTATTTTTGTTAGATTGAATACCTCTATTTAATATAGAAAATAAAATATCTATTTTGTGAATACATAAATCCTTAGGATTTGAAACCTTTTCATATAGAAAGCCTCAATTCCTTAGACACATAAACTAGACTCATCTTTCTAACTAATCAAAGTAGAAATATATTGAGGTGTGTGCAAATTGCAATAATATTCATATTCAATATGTATAAGAAGATTTCAACCATATACACAATTGCAGTGCAGTTATTGAGTTTTTTTTATCATTGGGTTATATATATATATAGTGTACGTCTGTAGTTTTTATACGTGTATGTTGATTTAATGGTAAGAAACCTGAAAACTCCCTTGCAGTTTTGTAAAGGGTAATATCAACTAATGTCTTTGAATTTTTCTTCTAAGGTTGTACTCTATCTCTCTTCTTTACATAACTATGGCTAGCTATACATGAAGAAGTAATGTTAGTTTAAAGTATTCTATTTCATTAATTTAATTTTATAAAATTGACCTTATTTTTGCACGATAAAACAAACAAGTACATTATATTATATCATTTTTTTTTAAATTTGAAAACAGTGTACTCAAATTAGGTGATAGACTGACTGGGAAGTTTTATAACCTTTTATGGAGAAACGAGAGAACACTGTTAATGCATAGTCTATTTGGTAACATTTAAACTTTTTTTTTTTGGCCTATATTTACTATATATTTCCCCTGTTTTTAATTATTTACTTGTGCAATTTTATCTCGACACACTAATTGTTAGTTATTACTATGTAAAAATTTCCAAATAAAGAAAAAAAAAATTGACTTATAACCAATATTGTGTGCAGCATGGACATGATCCTGGAGAAGTATGAAAGGTATTCATTTGCAGAGAGACAATTGGTCTCCAATGAGCCTGAGTCACCTGTAAGTCATGTGATTAAATATGTTGGGCTGTTTTTAATATAATTTTTACATCTCTGAAAAAAAATAAGAAACCTTAACAAAAGTTAATTAAATTATAAACAAATTTGCATTATACATGTTCACTTATGTCCTTGTTTTTCGACAGGCAAATTGGACAATTGAATACAGCAGACTTAAGGCCAGAATTGAGCTCTTGCAGAGAAATCATAGGTGACTAAAATTTTCTTTTCATGAATAAAAAGAACAACAACAACAATAATAATAATAATAAAAAAATCCACTATTTCTTGAAATTATTGTCTCAATTAGTATATGTATGCCTCCAATTAGCAGAAATTCTTATATGAGCGGACTTAACCATTAGATGAGTCAACCAATCATACTATATGAACAAAAATATATACTCGGTAATATAAGTCACACTTCTATTTATATTGTTTGAAGATATATATATATATATATATAGATATAGATAGACATATACATCAAACGAAATGAATGGACATGTATTATGATAAAACAAAACACTTTCTAAGATAACAAAGCGCAGCTTGTGCTATACTTATTACCAATAGGTCACCTATTCGAGTCACCAAGGAGGGGAAATAAGAACACAATTGATGCACTTTTAAAATAGAAAAGAAAAACATAGTACTTTCTATGGAAAATGTCATAAAAAAAAAAGTGTTGAAAGAGATGAAAAATAGACAGCTCAAACTATATGATTGTTGGGTCAAAATTGATTTGTTTGACCTGTCTTATGAAATTCATCATTTTTGCAACAAACTTTATTTTTTTTTTTTCAATCATGTCACCCTCACATTTACTGTAATTCTTCTGGAGGACCAACGGACTATTATTGAGTATTGACAGCCCCACATATAACTAGAATGATTTTAAAAGTCCTATTGGCCTAAGTTTCTAAAAAGGGTACTATGATACTCTCTATTAATTATGTTTCCTGTTTTATTTTATTACATTTGTTTTGATGTTATTGCTTTAATTAATTGTCCAATCAGGCACTACATGGGCCAGGATTTAGACTCAATGAGCCTCAAAGACCTTCAGAATCTGGAGCAGCAACTTGACACCGGTCTTAAGAACATCCGATCTAGAAAAGTATTCTTTTTAATTTTTTATAGATCTATTTACAATTCAATTTATCTTAATTTTTGTCATTTTTGAAAATTAATTTTCGAGATGAAAACTAACTTTTCGGGCGATCATTTTTCTCGGCATTCAGAATCAGCTCTTGTACGATTCGATTTCCGAGTTGCAGCGAAAGGTTTGTCCTTATTACCTACAATATTTACCTATTTCATACTATTCATGGCAAACACTAAAATCATACATATATGCAAATAATGTGGTTGAAATTAATAAGAACTAGCGATATCTTAATAGTGTGTACTTTTGACAGGAGAAGGCCATACAAGAGCAAAACAGCATGCTGGCTAAGAAGGTAATAAACATGTATTATTAGGATTTATTCAACATGTGGTTATTATTTGGGCTGTAAAAAAGTCGAGTCGAGCATGGACCTTGTCGAGTGCAGATTGAACTTTTTTCTTCACGAGTTCGAGTTCGACAAGCCATGTAAAATGGTGCTCGACTCGACTCGTGAAAAAAATAAGCATGCTCGAGCTTGACTCAAAATTTTAACAACTAAATTTTAAATGTAAAGGTAGTGTTTTTAATCTAAATAGACAATTTTGACCATGGTGTTCTAAATATTGATATTAAACTATATAGGGTATTTATGTAAATAAAAAGTCGAGCGGCTTAAGCTTACGAGTCTCTTGAAATGGTGCTCGAGCAACGCTTGACTCGTTTTCAACTCTAATTGGCATGAATTATTTATTTCTTTCAAGAAAAGAAAAATATATTTGTAACTTTTTTGTTCTACATTTTGTAATGTAGATAAAAGAGAAGGAGAAGGAAATAGGGCAACAAGCGCAGTGGGCTCACCAAAACCACCCGCCACCATTGCCGCCACTTCCACCGCCACCGCCGCCGTTCCTAATTTCATCTCAGCCTCCTTGCTTGAACATTGGGTAATTTCATCTCTTTTTAATTAATTTTTTATTTTTATTTTTTAACTAAAGTACAATCTTTTCAAATCTTAATTACTATCTCCAAGTTTTTAAGTTACTACGTACAAATGCGACACTTTTTACGACCCGCTAAATGAAATGTTATCGTCTAACATTCGATTCTTTGGCTATTTCGACTACTTCCCACATTTGACGGAAAAAAAAAAGGTGGGTTTGATATCGTTAAATATAATTTCCATATTTTTTTTTTTTTTTTGTTTGGTTTTGTTTTGAGAAGAGGCGGCTCGTATGAAGAGGCAGCCGAGGCTAGGAGAAACGAGCTTGATCTCACTCTCGACTCGATGTATTCGTGTCATCTTGGATGTTTTGCTGCATGATTTTTTATATGAAAATATATGGTATCTACTATTTGTTGTGATGAATTATGTATGGCTTATTATGAGTGCAATATGTACTATGTATTGTCTTTGAGTTATTCATATATGGCTGTAAATTACGAGACCTAGTAAAAACCAGGGGAGAAAAATGAAGTTTGCAGCTCTTAGAGGAGAATGCAATTTGAGAATCTGAGTGTAATGAAGAAATGAGTAACAACACTTTCAAATGTGAACAATAATGTAATGTCTATGTGTGTAATTTCATGTTTGGGTTTGTACTGATATTATTTGTCTCGATTTCTACTATAGTGTGCAGTCATAAATTTTATGGATTGTAATTTTACTTTGCTCCTTGGTTGTAAATACAAGTTACTGCATCCACCGATCTACGGATTGTGTGAAGTAGTGGTCCCATTTTTCTCTTAAATACGGATAGAAAAAGTTATTTATTTGGTTAATCGTTTTCTTTCATTCAATTTTTTATAATTATTATAATGGTACTAACTACTAATTCGCAAATGAAAAAAGAAAAATAAAAAAACAAAAGAGATAAAAAAAGGTAAACGAAATTTGGAAGTTTATGTTTAAGTTATTTTGGGTAAATATTGTTGGTAATTTTATATAACACGCTCCAAGGTTATGATTGTAGAATTTCAGATCTAGGATTTTCGGATATTTTTCATTTCACTTGAAATTGGGAAAATGTTCATGTAGTACATTTATAGAAAACAACTCATGCATAAAAGGATACGACGTCGTTTCTTAGTTAACATCCTAACACCCAAAATGACGTCGCACTCACTAAAGAAAACGCTAGCATTATTTATATACAAGACACACGCGACTTTAACCTCTAAGAAATCTGACTCAAACATAAGCGGTTATAACTGCTTCCATCATCTCTACCCTTGTGTATATCAACACCGCCTCCTCAAGTTGGAGTGTGGAGAAGATCGCAGACACCCAACTTGACCAACATCTTCTGAAAAGTACCAAAGGGAAGGAGCTTAGTGAAGAAGTCAGCTACTTGCTGTGACGAGTGAACATAAGCTGGTAAGACAAATCCTTCCTTGTATTTGTCTCGAACAATGTGACAGTCTATTTCGAGGTGTTTAGTGCGCTCATGGAACACCGAGTTTGCTGTGATGTGCATAGCAGCGTGATTGTCACACCAAAGCGTGATAGGGCGTGGTATGAAGATCTGAAATTCTTGAGCCAAAGAAAACAACCATTGCAGCTCACAAACTGTAGTTCCCATGGCTCGATATTCTGCCTCTGCAGATGATCTAGCCACCGTGACCTGCTTCTTGATTTTCCATGAGATGAGGCTATTTCCCAAGAAAATGCAATACCCGGTTATTGATCTTCTAGTGTCCTTGCATGTAGCCCAGTCGGGATCACAAAAAGCATTCAAATCATAGTTCAGTTGAGAGGTAAAGAACAAACCAAGAGTTGAAGTACCAGATACCTCAACACTGAAATAGCAGCATTCCAGTGATCAGTGAATAGGTTGTTAACAAATTGGCTAAGCTGTTGAACAACGTAGCTAACATCCGGTCGAGTCATGTTGAGGTACAGCAACCTCCCAATGAGTCTTCTGTACTTCTCAGGTTCTTGCAAAGCTTCACCATCAAATCCAGTTAACCTTAACCCTTGTGGCAGTGGAGTACAAACATCCTTGCAGTCTTCTAAACCCATGTCCTTCAAAATGTCAACAATGTACTTCCTTTGACACAAATGTATCCCCTCTGCCCTTCTTGTAATTTCTATGCCCAAAAAATAGTTTGCAACACCAAGATCCTTAATAGTGAAGAGTTTATCTAAGTATCCCTTTAAAGTAGCTATCTTCCAATCATCAAACCCCATAATCAATACATCATCTACATAAACTAGCATGTCTAAGAAAAGTCCATTTCTGTGGTGTGTGAACAAACAATGGTCTTGACTTGATTGTTGTAGTCCAAATTCCAAGAGCTTTCTAGACAGCTCACAATTCCATTCCCTTGAAGCTTGCTTTAGACCATATAAACTCTTAATATGCCTGCATACTTGTCCTTCTTTTCCCTTTGTATATCCCTGTGGAATCTTCATATAGACCTCTTCTTCTAAATTGCCATGTAAGAAGGCATTATTCACATCAAGTTGCCAAATTGTCCACCCCTCTGATTGCAGCCATAGCCATAAACATTCTTACTGTGACTAGCTTGGCAACAGGAGAGAACACATCAAAATAATCCACACCTTCCACTTGAGTGAATCCCTTTGCCACTAATCTGGCCTTAAACCTCTCTATTGCCCCATCAGCCTTTCTTTTAACCTTATATACCCATTTTGATCCTATTGCCTTTTTACCAGGTGGCAGATATGTCAATTTCCAAGTATTGTTGGCCTCTAAAGCCTTGAGTTCCTGTTCCATAGCTTCTACCCAGTGTTTGCTTCTTTTAGCTTGCTCATAGTGTGTTGGTTCATGGCCTTCTTCCAGATTAACAGCAAATGCCACATCATCTGCACAGCACACATAGTCCTTCATCCATGAAGGTTTCTTTCTTATCCTTCTGTCATTACGTGGGGATGTATCAACTTCACCTCTGTGCCTTCATCATTTATCTCTGCATTAGTATCCTCATGGTGTGTGACTCCTGTATCATTGGTAAGGATGCCCCATGGTCAGTTACTGTCTCTTTATCTTTGTAAGGGAATTCATCAGTCACAAATGTCACATCTCAGGACACAAAAATCCTTTCATCCTTAATGTCCAGTAAAATATATCCTTTACACCCTCTAGCATACCCAATAAAAGTGCATTGGAGTGACCTTGTATCCAGTTTCCCTCTCTTAGGATTAGTGTTGACAGCATAAACCAAACAACCAAATGGTTTGAGCCTCTTGTATTCAGGTGCCTCATTGTATACTCTCTCAAATGGAGTCTTCCAGTTCAAAGCCACGCTAGGTAGCCTATTTATAATATGTGCAGCTGCAAGTACTGCATATGACCAATATTTGAGATCCATTCCAGACTGAAACATCAATCCTCTTGCTATTTCAAGCACTTGTTTGTGCTTTCTTTCAACCACACCATTCTGTTGTGGTGTGTATGCACATGTCTTTTGATGGATTATTCCCAGCTCTTGAAACAAAGTTTGACAACTGTGTCCAAGAAATTCTTGCCCATTGTCAGTTCTTACCTTTCTGACCTTTTTATCAAACTGTGTGTGAATCGTTTTCAACAAATTTCTGAGCAAGCTCACTGTCTCTCCTTTAGTACTCATGAGGATATACCCCTGCTATAGTCATCCACAATAGTCAAGAAGTATGGGGTCTTAGGGGGTGATTGGATATGAATTCAACTAGTAAAAAACTAGATTTTTTTAACTATAGTTAAGTTTGAAAAAAAGTAGTATGGTTAGTTGTTAGTGGATATATTAAAATAATACTTAAATTAAAATAATTAAAGTTGATTTGATTTAAAAGTAGGAGAAAATGATATGGAAGTGAGGTTAGTTAAAATTATGTGAGTGTGTGAATAGTGAATTAAAGTTGATGTGATGTGTAATAATGATTGTTTGATATTATTTAATTATATTGATAATATTGGAGATAGTGGAGTTGAGTTAAAGTTGAGTTAAATTTGAGTTTTGAGTGAAATATTTACTGTACAAATTATAAACAATCACGCCCTTAGTGACTGAATCTTCTCTGCATGGCCCCCAAATATCTACATGCACTAGATCAAAGCAGTCATTTGACTGTATGGAACTAGTGGGAAATGGCAGCCTGTGCTATTTGACATTGAAACATACTTCACAGTTCTTGAATGTTGTCTCTGCCTTGTCATTACAACAGTCTCTAAGTGAAGGAATCCTTTATAAGACTCCAAATGATGCATGTCCAATGTTTTTATGCCATTCCTCTAATGTTACTTTGCAGGCCAACCCATATACCTTTGCACTGCGAGATGAATCAAGTATATAGAGCTTATCCTGCAACTTGCCACTCCCAATTGGTTGATAAGAGGTTATATTTGAAAGATGGAACAAATAAAACTTCTTCTAATATTAGGCTATCTGACAGCTTAACTTCTCCAATCTGATTGACCAATTTTGTTGTTCCACCTGGCATATACACAACAATTGGTGACCTCACATTAGTTAAATTTCTCATCAAAGCCTTGTTGATACACATGTGCCTGCTAGCTCCTGTATCAATCACCCATAATTCTCCACCTACTCCAGCAAAGCTTGACAATGCATAGTGTCTCTCTTCCCTTTCTTCATTGACTGCAAAGTTAACATAATGATCCTCCTCCTTATGTGATTTTCCCAGCAGCTTTGCCACTTCTTGAGCTATGGCTGTGATATCTGGCATAGAATTAACACCACTAGTTTGAGTCTTAGAACCACCTTCTGTTTGAACTAGGTTCACCATTCCTTTCTCTTTTCTATCCCTCACTTCCTTAAACCATTCAGGGTATCCATGTATTTTGAAACATGTGGACTTCTCATGCCCATTTTTCCCAAAGTTTTCACATATTAGCTTGGCTCTTTCCTCCTTAGATAGTTAGGTTGTGGTCTGCATTGAAATCCTTTCTTCCTCCAGAAAATTTCACTGCCATGGCCATGGTAGAGCTGATATCACTTGCATTAGATTGCACTGTCCTTTGTCTTTCTGCAGACAAAATCATAGAATATGCCTTGTTAACTGTTGGCAATGGATCAAATACCCTAATTCATCCCACATTTGCTTGAGCTTATTGAAATACATCATCACAGATTCATTTCCCTGTTTCAGATTGGCAATATCTCTTTGTAAATGATAGATTAAAGGACCATTACTTTCACCAAACCGTTGTCCAATTTCATCCCACAGATCCTTAGCGGACTCAACATACATGAAAGCACCAACAATTTCCTTGGACAGCGAATTTAAAATTCATAACAAAACCATCCAATCAACTTTCCTCCATTTGACATAATCAGCATCTTTTATTTCCGGCATCATCAAAGTTCCATCTATGAAACCTAGCTTAGTTTTTGCATCGAGTGCAATCATCATCGACATTTTTTCCAAGCTAAAAAATTCGTTCCATCGAGAGGATGCGAGACTAGCTGTATACCTGGATTATCGGAGCTACTCAGAAAGAGAGGCTTATCTTCCTTGTTTTCCGAGCTCGCACCAGCTCTCGCATTGAGCAACGGCCATGCTTCCGTGCTCCGATTGTTCGCCATTTGAAGTTCAGCTCGAGGATCATCTCAAGCTCTGGATACCATGTAGAATTTCAGATCTAGGATTTTCGGATATTTTTCATTTCACTTGAAACTGGGAAAATGTTCATGCAGTACATTTATAGAAGACGACTCATGCATAAAAGGATACGGCGTCGTTTCTTAGTTAACATCCTAACACCCAAAACGACGTCGCACTCACTAAAGAAAACGCTAGCATTATTTATATACAAGACACACGCGACTTTAACCTCTAAGAAATCCGACTCAAACATAAGTAGTTATAACTGCTTCCATCATCTCTACACTTGTGTATATCAACAATGATGAACTTTTTCTTAATAATCGAGCTTATATCATATGTTTATCTACATATCATTAATAAAAGAGATTTTTGTATCACTGATTTATTTGTCAATTATACCAAACATTTTTACTATATCAACTAAATTTAGGCATCAATTATAAACTAGTCCCCTGTTAGCTTAAAATTAACTTATGGCATATCAACTTTTAAGCAATCCTTTGCAAACCTCACCTTGAATGTTAGCACAGTAAGCCATTAATCAAAGCCCGTAAATTTGAGATCCATTTTTCATACCAAACCCATTAAATAATAAGCCCACTATAGCCCATGACACAGTCGTCTTCCCCACACCAAAAACCCTAATCAACTTGAGTTTCCCCAAAACCCTCTGAGCTACAAATCGCATGAAAAGCTCTGTTATTCCTCACAATCACCGTTTGATTCGTAAGAAATAATGGCGAAAAAATCAAGCTCAGATAGTTCGAAGAAGAAGAAAAGTAAGAACAAGATTAAGAGCAAGTTAAGCGTTCTCAATTCAGAGGCAAAGAAAAACAAAGCACCCAAAGAAAATCCATTCGAGAGCATTTGGTCTCGGCGCAAGTTTAATATCTTGGGCAAGAAACGTAAGGACGAAGAACGACGCCGTATTGGGCTCTCTCGCTCACTCGCCATTCAAAAGGTCCTGCTTTCGTTACTCTGTTCGTTTGAGCTTGTGGTTTGCTGATTTCTCATGCTGTTTCTGAAAAATCCTTTTTTTTATATCTTTATCATTTTTATTTGAAATGAGCTATGGTAGCTTTCTGAGCTCATGTGCGCTCTTGGTATAAAAAGAAACAGCCATTATCTCGAGTCCTTTTCATACTGTAGTGAAGTGAATAATTAAAGGGCTATCAGCATATGGAACATTTTTAGACATTTTGGAAAATCTGTTCATAAATTTATGGATGAAATTGTTAATATGCGTATTGCTGCCATATATTACTCGAGCCTAAAACTATTGGAGCTAAGCTTATCCTTTGTTCATTTGTGTATTATAAGTGTGTCATTGCGTGAATTCTCTTGCTTTGATTAACTTTAGAACAAGTTATTGGATTTCTATTGGAGCGTGAATGTGTTTTTTTGTGAAATGCAGAGGCAAAAGACACTGCTAAAGGAATATGAGCAGAGCGCAAAGTCTTCGGTCTTTGTTGATAAGCGTATTGGAGAGCAAAATGAGGGACTCGGGGAGTTTGACAAGGCAATTCTGAGGTCCCAACGCGAACGGCAGGTGGGATTGCTTTTATTTTTTTCATTAGAATATACTGTCCTATATGTTTTACTGATTTATCTATAATCTAAAATTTTGCTAGTAAAAGAAGTGATTAATGGAATGCCAATTTTTTATGAGAGGCCTTGATTCTTTTCCATTACTGTTGGTGTTATTAGTTAACTCTGAAGAAGAAAAGTAAGTATAATTTATCTGATGGGGAGGAAGATGACTTTGAGATTCCAGATGGTGGGTACTTTCCAGAAAGGGACGATTTTGAAGATGATGTACCTTTGGATGAGGATGATGCTGGCCAATCAATTGGATATCCAAGTAAGTGTTTGATTCATATTTGTGTCTCTACTTATTCATTTTTCTTTCTCTTTTTTTGTCATTTTTCTTTCTCTTTTTTCGTTTTCTTTTCTTGATTGTGGGAAAGACTATCAGTGCTTTTGTTATGGATTACGATCAATATCTGCCAAAAGTTATCACAGTATTCTTGCACTGCTATGTGAATATTCAGTAACAGATTAGGTCAGAGTGAGAAGTCATTTTCTTGTATTATTAGTACTGGATCTTCAGAGTTAAAATTGTTAGCCAACTCATGATTTTGAGGAAATGAACTTGTAATGTCTTCTTAGACTTTGTATTATATAATGCCTCAGAATTTTGTGAAGCAATCATATAATATATTTTCGACTGGTATGGCCGTATAGTATTGCCCTTCTATATATAGCTAGTATGAATGGACTTTATCTCCGTGCAGAAAAATTAAATCTGGATACCCGTGAAGCTGAAGATGGTCCAGGATCAAGAACAATTGAAGAAAATGCAGATGTGAGATTATGTGCAGACTAAAAATTGTTTCGAAATAAAATCTTTTAAAGTTATACCCAACGAGAAGCATTTTCCTTTCCTTATACATAAAGTGGTTTATTTCTGCTTCTAACTTGATCACATCTGTATTATTGCAGAGGCCTAAGAGCAAGAAAGAAGTAATGGAGGATATCATCACCAAAAGCAAGTTCTTCAAGGTTTTCTGCTTGTTATTTGAGTTAAGTGAATATCACTTTCTAATTGTAGTTTCTGACAGGCACTTTCGCCATTTCTCCTTTTTTCGTGTTCTATCCCCTCATGAGATCAGGCTCAAAAAGCAAAGGATAAGGAAGAAAATGAGCAGTTCATTGAACAATTGGACAAGGATTTTGCATCTTTAGTACAGTCTGAGGCCCTCTTGTCCTTGACTGAGCCAAATAAAATGAAAGCCCTCAAGGCCCTTGTAAACAATGTATCAATCGATAACGCGAAAAAAGAGGAGATGGATAATGTTCAGAAGAAAGTTTCCTTCCAGCAGGTGAATTACTATTTTTACAAAGTCTTTATGCTTTTTCTTCATGCATCATCTGGGAGCATTTCTCTTCACTATTTCTGTCTTTTACACTTTACTAGAAGTTTTCCAGGAAAATGAAGATGTAGTTAATTCATATCTTTTTGGTTCTTTTGTGAACAATATGTTATTTATGATTTGATGGTTTGATTGCTCTTCGCAGGAGAAACCCGATCATTATGACAAGCTAGTTGGTGAAATGGCACTTGACATGCGTGCTCGGCCATCGGACAGGTCTAAGACACCCGAAGAGTTAGCTCAAGAGGAGAAAGAGCGTCTAGAGAAGTTGGAGGTAATAACTTTTTAAACTGATGGTGGAAAATTTGTATATTATTGTCATAGAAATTAGGAGGTAGTCACGTCCTTTTACATTGGCCCAACTTTTCGTATTGAACAATGAGTAATTTAGTGTCTTTTTGCTTATATTCTGAAGATGCAGTCATAGTATTCAACTTTAGCTAATATGAGATAGAATCTTGATCTGTCTGTTGCTGATAGTAATGTCAACTCTTGACTTGTGATAATGATCTTTGCTTTCTTTATATTATCAAAAGCAATTTTTAAATATTGTATAAATTTAAGCAAACTCTGTGGTGTGTGGATTTGTCTATTCAGAGTGGTAAATATCTCATATTTCACACGGGAAAACGATGGCCATCTGTGTATATGCATTTCCAGAATTTTAAATTTTATAACCCTGAAAGCAATGAAATTTACATCAAATAGCTATTCCCTGGAAGTAATCAACGTAATAGCAGGAAAAAGTGAGTTGAATGTATATCTCTTTCAGGAAGAACGTCAGAAGAGAATGGCTGTGGGCCATGATTCCAGTAATGAAGATGCCGACACATCTGAGGATGATGATGATGATGAATCTGCAAAGGAGAGTACACATATATCTGGGGATGATCTAGGTGATTCCTTCTCTCACGATGCCAAGCTGAAAACTAAAGCTATCTGGATCGATGACATTCTCAGAAAAGAAAATGATAACAATATCGAAAGTGAAGGTGCAACTACTTCTGGCGAATCAGAAAACGAGGAGGATGATGATGATGATGAGGAGGAGGAGGAGGAGGAGGAGGATGATGATGATGATGACCATGATGAAGATGAGAAGCCTCAGTCTCTGAAGGACTGGGAACAAAGTGACGATGAAAACATTGAAGCTAATCTGTATGATGAGGATGAGGATGAGGATGAAGATGGTGATGGAGGTGAAGGGGGTGAAATAATGAAAAAGAAAGAGAAAAAGATATCAGAAAGTAGGGTTAAACAGAAAGACAGTGAAAATTCGTACAATGGAAAAACTAATGCTAAGGAGGAACCACTTAAAAAAGTGGAGCTTCCGTACACGATTGAGGCACCAAAGAGTTTTGATGAATTTAGTGCATTGGTGGAGAATTGTTCGAATGATCAGATTTTGGAAGCTATTAGACGAATCCGGACATTTAATGCCATCTCCATTGCTGCAGAAAATAGGAAAAAGATTCAGGTTTGGAATCTTATTGTCGGTTGTTTTTTGTTTTTTCTCTTTGTTGGGGAAGTTTTGTTGCATTTATATGTGACGTGGGTTAAATTTATTTTCCAGGTGTTCTACGGAGTGCTGCTGCAATATTTTGCTGTTTTGGCAAATAAAAAGCCACTGAATTTCGAATTGCTTAATATGCTCACTAAGCCTTTGATGGAAATGAGTGCTGAGATCCCATATTTTGCAGCCATATGTGCTCGTCAGAGGTTGCTTCGTACACGCACCCAGTTCTGTGAGGATATTAAGAATACAGGTTAGGCATAGTGTACTGTAGTTTCTATTAATTTTTGTATTTGATTAAAAAATTAATTTGTTTAGTTTTTTTTTTATTTATCAGCTGAAACTTGTTATCTGATTTTGTTCTACTCCATTACAGGAGAAAGCTGTTGGCCTTCCCTGAAGACACTTTTTCTATTGAGGCTATGGTCGATGATTTTCCCATGTTCTGATTTTCGTCATGCTGTAATGACCCCTGCCATTTTGTTGATGTCTGAATACCTCATAAGGTGTCCGATTATTTCGGGCCGGGATATTGCAATCGGTTCCTTCTTGTGTTCCATGGTGCTTTCTGTGAGTAATTCTCTCTCTCTCTCTCTCTCTCTCTCTCTCTCTTGCTCTCTCTTAATAGGATGTGTAGTTAGCAAATATCAGAATTTCTTAGAGTGTGATTGGACATGGATTTTATTGGTAAGCCATAGTTAATTTAGAAAAATGTGGTATGATTAGTTGTTAGTAAGAATTTGAGTTTAAATTAAAATACAATAATTAAAGTTGATTTGATGTAAAAGTAGAAGAAAATGATTGGAAGTGATGGTTAGTTACAATTATGTGGGTGGATAAATAGTAAATTAAAGTTGATGTGATGTGTAAGAATAATTGATTGATATTATTTAATTATATTGAGAATATTGAGGATACTGGGATTGGGTTAAAGTTGAGTTAAATTTGAGTTTAGATTGATTTTTTTTGGGTTAAGTTTATATCCATCCAATCACACCCTTAAATTTCTGGATAGTGGTGTTATTCGAAAGTTTGTTATATCTTTACTTTCTCTTCCTAATCTGCAACGATACTGTAAAAAATTTTGCAGGTCTGTAGTCAATCCCAAAAGTTCTGTCCCGAGGCTATCACATTTATACAAACGATGTTAATGGCATCTGTGAATAATAAACAAAGATACAAAACATCTCAGGTTTTTCTCATTTATTATACCTTTTCGAGGAATAAACTTTTTTATGGAGTTAGTTTGCTAATGGTGTGATTTGCATAGTGATTCTCTCCATAAAAAAATGACTTACATTGGTATATGGTTAATTTGAACAGTTATATCATCTTATGGAGTTAAAAACGCTAAGGCCGCTACTCCATATGGAAGGCCGTGTTGAAGAAATTAATTCCTTAGATTTTCTAGCAATAATGGACTTGCCAGATGATTCTCCTTATTTTACATCGGATGATTTCAGGTTTATATAGTGTTTTTTCCTTTTAATCATTGTAACAATTTATGGATGATTGATTATTTATATAAAATATATAAAATATATTATTCATTAGACTTAAATGTTATACGAATTTTTCTGTTTGCTATCGAACATGCAGGGCCAGCATTCTTTTTGCGATAATTGGAAATCTGAAAGGATTTGTCAAAATTTTCGAGGGATTCAAATCCTTCCCTGAGATATTCCTGCCGATTTCAGAAATATTAAACGGGCTCTCAGAAGAAGATCTTCTACCCGATCAATTGAAGGCCGAAATCAAAGACATTACCCAACTTATCGAGAAAAAATCCGAAGAACACCACTTATTACGTCAGCCATTGAGAATCCGAAAGCAAAAGGTTATCAAAACAGCAATCCCAAAGTTTGAGGATAAGTAAGTCTCCCTCAGTAAATTCATTCTTGTTTTGTTTATATTATTAATTATCTGTCATTAGAACTAAACTCGTGATTGTTTGTAATAATTCTTTTGCAGTTTTGTTAAGGGGAGGGATTATGATCCGGACAGAGATCGAGCAGAGAGGAAAAAACTGAAGAGAAAATTGAAACAGGAAGCTAAGGGGGCCATGCGTGAATTGAGAAAGGATAATTATTTCTTGTTGGAGGTTAAAGAAAGGGATAAAGCGCGAATGGAGGAAGAAAAAGCTGAGAAGCTCGGCAAATTTAGATCTTTTCTTCAAGAACAGGAGCATGCTTTTAAATCCGGGCAGCTTGGGAAAGGAAAAGGCAGGAAGAGAAGGAGATAAGGTTCTCTCACTTCTCTCTATTTACAATTTTTTTTTTTTTTTTTTTT